AAAAATTGTTACCTACAATATACGCTTCTAAATCTTCTCCTATGCATCTCGCTGCTGTTATCGATTGGTTTATTGGATTCTTGTTGGACATAGCTGCAGCGTTTGGAATCGTCTTTATGCATCATAGCGCAGCTGTTATCGAGTGGTTTATTGGATCATCTTGCTGAGCACAGCTGCAGGGTTTGGAATCATAACTTTTTATGAACGTGTTATTTCGTCGTAGACAACATTCCTGATTACCGGAGCTTGTGGGACTGTATCCAACCAATTCCTCGTAACCCTTATACCGCTGCTACTTGTGCACCGCGATAATGCCACATAAGTGCTACCATGTGCGAACGAGGGAGTACGCAGAATAACGCCCACTTTATCGAACGTTTGCCCTTGACTTTTGTTGATGGTCATACAAAATGCGAGCCGAACGGGGAACTGGAATCTGCAGAAACAAACGCCGGTCTTTTCGTTTGCATAATCAAGATTCATCCTGTGTATGAATGCATCTTCGCCATTCGTCAGATTCTTGCAATGAAGAAGTTTCCCTTCGCCAATAATTGATAATACAACAAGTCTTGTCCCATTGCAAAGCTGCGCTGACACATCCAAATTTCTAAGCAACATCACAATTGAACCAGGCTTAACCCGCAAGATGTAGGGTGGCAATGCCGCCGGCATGATGTTATGGAAGTACTCCTCGTTGTCGCAAGGTAATCCATGCAAGCCGTCCTCCTCTACAGAGGGTGTATCTATTCCGACTAAATCAACAGCAGGTCCTGCTAGCTTCTGCAGTACCTTTATGTTGAGTTCTTCTACGTCGCAGTTACGAACAGTGAACAAAGCAACTCGCGCAAGCATCAAAGGATCATTTAATAATTCGGCCGTATAGATCCATTCGATGACATCATCTTCTGTAGTCATGCACATAGAGGATGGTAGCAAAATGTTGTCATCGTTGTAAAAATTTTCTCCAATCCCGACGGAAAGAAGCCACTTTGTGTATTGTTCTTCTTTGGCACCCATCCTCAGATTCTCTTCGAGGGTGAAAGTCTCAAAATGTTTCCAAAGGTGGCTGTTCTTGCATGTGGAATCCACAGTCTCTTGTCGCGTGCCACCTTGTATGACAGGCAGGAACTGGCACCAATCTCCTCCCAAAATTATAGTAACA